GGAGAAAGACTACGAGGAAGAGGAAGAGGATGAAGACGTCGCGGTCATCGTCTTTTTCCTCTTCATCTCCACTGCTGCCCACTCTATTGTGTCCTTGCTCCACCCGTGGAATGACGTTGTATTAAATATCAAAAATTTGTTCATTGCTTCCACAACAGTGCTTATCAATTCCTCAGTTTGCCTTGGGATCGCCGCATTTAACAGCCGGTCAAATTCACAGGCATAAACCTTACTTGAAACAAGTAGTTGGATCCTCTGGCACAGGAGATCAATCTGGTACTGCTTTGTAGAGAAGGGTTAAAAAAAGGCGACGGACTACAAATATTTGTAGAGAAGGGTTCTCTCTAAACGCTTCGTGTCCGTTGTCTTTTTGAAACCCTTCTCTACAAACGCTTAACGCCCGTCGTCTTTTTGAAACCCTTCTGTACAAACACTTTGTTCCCGTCGTCTTTTTGGAACCCTTCTCTACGAAATGATGCGCGGGGTCCGGAGCAACTGAAACTGATCTTGTGCAACCGCATACGTGCAGCACAAATTATTTGTCAGAGTCTGGAGAGCATCTGAGCCAAGGTTGTTTTCAGCATGCTGTACAGTGTCCTGTGCCGGCCAGCTCGTTCCCTTAATGCCAGCGTGACTGCAAAAATAAAAGTCGAAGTCGGTAGGATGACAGATCCCCTAGTTGACAACAGTGTTTAGATCGACATTTTGTCCACGATTGAAGCCCTCGCAACAATTTGTAAAGGAAGTAGAGGTAGGGTATCACTACATCCGGCAATGGCTAAAAAGAAGGAGGTGAAGCACAATGAAGCATGCGGTAATGTGAAGGTCATTGAGACCGATATGTTGGAACTGACGACTCAGCAAAAGACGTCGTCTTTTTGAAACCCTGCTCTGAAACATGATGCGGGGGGTCCCGAGCAATTGAAACTGATCTTGGAGTTGTTGCTGGTGTCCTACAACTAGGGCAATCAGAAAAGGTGGCCACAAAGAATTCTCTTTTACAGGGATGGGGTGAGCGAAGGCCAATTCATTGCTGTCAAGAGAAAGGAAATCACTAAGATAAAGAAGGCATGCAAGTCGTTGGATGCAGCATATGAGCCAAGGATAACAAAAAGTGTGGTCCATAAGAGGCATCACGGGCGACTTTTTGATCGTACAAAAAATGTCGATGCAAGCACTGTTGTGGACCAAGGGAGCTGTCATCCTACCGACTTTGAATTTTATTTATACAGTCACGCTGACATTAAGGAAACGAGTCGGTCGGCGCTTTACACTATCCTGTATGATGAAAATAACATTGGCCTAGATGCCTTCCAGACTCCGACAAATTATTTGTGCTACACATATGTTATATGCCGGCCGACTCGTTCCCTTAAAGCCAGCGTGACTGCATAAATAATAGTCGAAGTCGGGAGGATGACAGATCTCCTAATCCACAACAGTGTTTGGATCGACATTTCGTCCAAGATTGAAGCCCTCACAACAGTTTGTGAAGGAAGCGGACGTTGGGCATCAATACATTGGGCAATGGCTAAAAAGAAAGACAAACCCTGATGTCATGAACTCAACGCGAATCATCTTTTTAGGCCAAATAACAGACCAACATTGGAATGTCCTTTCAAAGGTGCAGAACATTGATGGGGACAAGAACGGATAGGGTATGATTAACAGTTACAAATGGAAGATTGTGGTGATCTCCTGTCCTTTCAAAGATATAGAACATTGATGGGGACAAGAACGGATGGGGTATGATTAACAGTTACAAATGGAAGATTGTGGTGATCTCCTGTCCTCCTGCAGCAAGTGGTAGCCAACAAACACATCGGGAATGAACAGCGCAAGCGGCACGTGCAATCTCGAAGCGGATGACCAGCATTGAATTTTTCTCTGCCACACCGTCGAACAAGTCACTTCTGGTCGCTGCAGGTGTTTGCCTAGCCACACTTCGGAGACACGAGGAATTGATCATGTCCGCTTTTTGCATCCCAAATTGACATATCTCTTTAGTGCATCAAAGGATGGTGAAATAAAAATCTGGAGGCTGGACGCTCCTGTGAAAGGTCGCCCAAATAAAACGGTGCTCTGAACGACGCCAAATAAGCGTAATATGCAGTCTTATTTGCAGGTTTTGTTGAGCATTCCCCTTGTGTTTCAAGGACGTCGATGACTTGGCCAAGATCTTCACTTTTTTCTTCTTAATCCCAGAACTTGTGTCTGTTGCGCCCACTGGTTGCGGTGGAGTGGTCTGCGACGCTTCTGGCTACCTCACGGTGGTGCTTCGGGACACTGACCGAGAACAGCCAAGGGAGAGGGTTTTCAAGGTCAGAATGAAGCTGGTCAATCAGCTCAATCTCGACCGACTTGAAAATCTGTATATAACGTAGTATGAATTCGCACAAGAGTTCATCCAAATGCTTGATATTGTCATGAGCGAAGCGGTTGCAACGAGGAACATACCGGTGGGCCGATCATATTTCAAGGAGGCGGGCAGTCAACCCCTTGGTGGCGGAGTCATGGTCTACAAGGGGTTTTACCAGAGCATCAGACCGGCCGACTTGGATCCAGCTCGACCCGGACGAGGAACATTGTGCACATGGTGGAGTGCAAAACTGTTGCAAGCCTTTTGAACATGGCTGATGTAGTTTGGAGGAGTTCGTGGTGAAACGGATGGGGGAGAGTTGTGGATCCTAGAGGAAGAGGAAGAGAGAAAGCAGGAAAAAATAACAGTCTGACAAGCAATTTGTGTTACACATATGTGGTATGCACAAGATCAGTTTCAGTTGCTCCGCGAGCATATTATGCTTATTTGGCATCCTTCAGAACGCCGTTTTATTTGGGCGACCTTTCAGAGGAGCGTCCAGCCTCAGAAGCGGAGAGGGAGCTGTTGGGAGACAGCGGGTTAGGAGGGTGGATATGGTGGACCTCTTCCACCTGCAACTCCTCCCCCACGTCTGGCTACCGAAGCAGCAACTTAGAGGGCGCTCAGTGCAAGGTTGAAGGCGATTACATTGGCAGAGAAGGGCCCCGCTGGAGCGAGCAGAGTGCTGAAGCCTGATTACAGCAAGGTTGGCGAACGACGAGTACTCGTAGCCAACCACTTTTCAGTGACTGTCTCCAAGCGGGAAATACATCATTACGATGTGGTCATTTCCCCGGACGTTTCGAGAGGGACGAATAGGATCGTAATTGCACAGCTGCAGGAACATCATCGGGTTTTTGATTTTGGGGGACGGCAAGTGGCCTACGATGGCCGGAAGATTGTTGTGTTTTGCAGGGCCTCGGAAGCGGCAGTATAAAAAAAGGTTGTGTTCGGCCTCGGAAGCGGAGAGGGAGCTGTTGGGAGACAACGGGTGATTACCCTTTACCGGAATTGAGTGGCAGTTTAATAAAATGTTGTGTTTTTACTGCTGACTGCCGTGAACTAACTTTCAGGATTGATGTCGGAATGTGATGTCAATGGAGGTAGAATGTACAGAAAGAAGGATTTCTTCGGGGTATGTGGAAGGCATGGTGGAGTGCACACCCTACTCCGACAAATAATTTATGCTACACATATGCGGCCCCCACAAGATCAGTTTCAATTGCTCCGCCAGCCTATTATGCTCATTTGGCATCCTTCAGAGCGAGGTTTTATTTGGGCGACGTTTTAGAAGAGCGTTCGGCCTCGGAAGCGGAGAGGAAGCTGTTGGGAGACAGCGGGTGATCACCCCTTGCCGGAATTGAGTGGCAGTTTAAAAAAAAGGTTGTGTTTTTACTGCTGACTGCCGTGGACTAACTTTCAGGATTGATGCTGGAATGTGATGTCAACGGAGGTAGAATGTACAGGGAGAAGGATTTCTTTGGGGTATGTGGAAGACATGGTGGAGTGCACACCCTACACTGACAAATAATTTGTGCTACACATATGCGGCCTGCACAAGATCAGTTTCAGTTGCTCCGCCAGCCCACTATGCTCGTTTGACATCCTTCAGAGCGAGTTTTTATTTGGGCGACGTTTCAAAGGAGTATTCAGCCTCGGAAGCGGAGAGGGAGCTGTTGGGAGAGAGTTTTTGAAGGGCCTCCCGACGACAAACAGTAGGCACTTTTCAGAGATAAAGAGAAATCGATTTATAGTCCTATATCGATGACGACGCGAGAGCCCTGGAGGCATGCCGGTGCCTCCTTTCCTCGGTGCCAGCCATGTTGACGTGGCACATGCCACGCCGTCTACACGCTGATGCGACGTTTGATGTCCTGTGTACTTGCTGACGTGTCACATGCTACACTGTCTACATGCTGATGTGGCAGATGCGACAGTCTACTTGTTGATGTGGTGCACACCACATTGTCTACTTGCGTGGCATTCACCACCTATCTTCATTGTTGAGTTGGACGCGACGTGGAGGAAGATCGGGATCTGTGGTTGATTGCACGGGATGTAAATACATATCTGTTCGATGCTGTCCTGAAAGTAACGATTAGAACAGTTCGGCATCACATCGAGGTGCCACGTGACACACAGACAGACAGACACACAAACAGACAGACAGGCAGACACAGACAGACAGACAGACAGACAGAGACATAGAGACACAGAGACATACAGACATACAGACAGGCAGACAGGCAGACAGACAGACAGACAGACAGACAAACTCTCAGAGATTATAGAACTAAAATCACTTAGCAGAGATTATAGAACTATAAGAGTTCTACAATCTCTGAGAGTCTTAAAGAACTACAGAACTGTAGTCACTTAGCAGACAGACATACAATAAAATCTCAAAGATTATAGAACTATAATCACTTAGCAGAGATTATAGAACTGTAATCACTTAGCAGACAGACATACAGTACTGCTCGGTGGTTATAGGACTATAAGAGTTCAGGGCGATGAGGATACGCACCCTGCAACCTTTTTTGCTCGCTGCTGCCAGCCTCTTGTTGTCAATCTGGAATTTGTTAGGCACCATTTTCTTCGAGGCAAGAAGGAAGCTGAGAAGCGTTTTGCCCGTTAAAACCCACATTTCGACGAACGAGTCCGGTTCTTCCATCACCCAACTTGCAAAAATGATCTCGCCATAACATTTGTAGTGCTTCTCCGTCTGCGCGTACAGCTTCACTCCGGCAGCTGTGAGGCAAACAGCCCACAAGAATGGAAGAAGTTTCGTGGTTTGTTTCGCCGACATGAGAATGTTATGCACCCAACTGTCCTTTTTCCTCCTCTTCCGTGCCCTGCCTACGTCCTGAACATCCTCATCTTCCTCTTCAGCCTCATCTTCCTCATCTTCCTCATCTTCCTCTTCTTCCTCTTCATCCTCTTCTTCCTCTTCTTCCTCTTCTTCCTCTGCTTCCTCTTCCTCATCATCTTCTTCTTCTTCTTCCTCCTCCTCGTCTTCGTCTCCCCCCACGTCCTCTACTCCCATCGGGTTGTCCTCGTCCTCCTCATCTTCGTCGTATTCCTGTCCGGTGAGCTCCTCTTCGACCTCTGCTTGTTGTTCGGGGTCCTCGTCGAATGCATGCGCTGCTGGCCCCTCCTCTCGAAAGTTCGATCTTGGGCGTCCGACACTGCTGCGTGCTTTGCTTCCGCCCGAGGACGCGGTCAGGTCCGGAACAGACTTTGTCGGTCTGTTCTTCATGTTGAGCCTGCAAACAAAAAAGGCAATGACGACGAACAAGCAGGAGGTTTAGGGCTACAAGAAGAAAAAGAGAAATAGGCTGGGGCGAGGAGGAGGAAGTAAAGGGCTTTAAGAATAACAATAAGATGAAAAAAAAAAGAAACAGATCAACTTTTTTTCGTTGATTGATTGATTGATTCATTGATTGATTGATTGATTTCTTTATCTTTTTATTCGATTTTCTTTTTTTTTTCTTTTTTTTTGTTGATTGATTGATTGATTGATTGATTGATTGATTGATTGATTGATTGTGTGTGTGTGTGTGTGTGTGTGTGTGTGTGTGTGTGTGTGTGT